ATGTTTGACATATTACGAGCTCGTGTTCAATGCCTCAGTCAGCCAGGAGCCAGCCAATCCAAAGGGATCCATTTGACCAAATAGTTGATTGTGGAAGCGTCCATGTGAGGTTTTTACAGAATATTTAATTACCTGTTGACAGATCTCTTCAATGTCGGAGAGTGTGGATGTTTCCTTTTCCTTAATAGTCAGATTAATATGTTTCTATGAAATATACATACATACATAGAAATATATAATGTATTACATTGTAATGATAGAAAAGACGTTTCATGGTTGAATATGTGCATATAAAGATTAAAACAGCAAATCATTAAAATGATCAAGCAACTGCATAGTGAACTCTTTCAATGATGAGTATAAAAGTCGCTTATCGGGAACTGTCTCGGCTACTTTGACGAGGCGGACGTCTAGACCTCGGATAGGAAGGACGGGGGCACTCACCTTCAGCTCGTCTGGCTGCATAAAATCGACTATTTTCTGTTGCTGCCATTGTTGTGGATCGGCACAGATAGTCTCCTCGCGCTGCACCAGCTTGAAGACATTCTGTAGAATCCTCCAATCGTCCATTAACCTCATGCGAACGCCATCGACAATTGAGGCAGTAGTCTCACTTTCGCCATCCATTTCACTATATTTCCGATCGAACCTTCGCCAACCGCTACTCAACTGGGAATGCGAACTGATTGGCCGTATCGCTGCATTGGAACTCAGTTCGAGCTGAATGCTTGTTAAAGTTGTAAATTAATTAACCATAGTACATACACGCGTCAATATACATATGTGTATATACATAGGCACCTACAGGCGTATATATGCATGTTGGCCTGTGTTCGTGCCGGTATGCCACAACATTAGGGTGAACCTTTTCTTAAGTACCTAGTGTCTGTGGCTTGAAATAAGATTATAGAATCTACCTATTCTACGCCGGTCTGTGGATTATATCTTATCGAAGTCAGCCATACAATCGCATTTGTTAGTTTGCTCAGGTATATTATACCTGCAATTATTGAATCAAGCACTTTCCACTCTTATCGTGCACAAAGCAAGTTTAGTGTCGAATGACTAGTAATTATCAATTTATTTATTATAATATGCAAGTATTTTTTAAAATATACAAGTAAAATGCGAATTTTTTTTTTTTTTGCATAATCTAACCGGTATCAAAATAAGGTAAATACGATTGATAGCTTAGTGAAAATGTGAACATCTTGAGTTATATTTCACTATATACTAAATTTAATCTTTAAAAAATGCGCCTATGTATTTTGATAAAAAAAAATTGTGTGACCCAATTATCTTCATTATAAAAATTGGTAATCGATTACAGTGCGATTAATACTATGTTCAAAATAACTGTTATCGCCTAGCAACAAGTTCACTGCCTGTTCACTTGTGGAACTACATATCATATGGTTTAAGGGCAGCGGAACTAGCAGTTGTAGAATTATTTACATCTCTCGTTTTGTTTAAATCATTTAAAAATTACAAATAAAGTGGAAACATGGGTCGCGCTGAAGTTGGTACGCCCAAGTACTTGGCCAACAAGATGAAGGCCAAGGGATTGCAGAAGCTGCGCTGGTATTGTCAGATGTGTGAGAAACAGTGCCGCGATGAAAATGGTTTTAAATGCCATACAATGAGCGAGTCGCATCAGCGCCAGCTGCTTCTCTTTGCGGATTCGCCTGGCAAATTTCTGCACAACTTTTCAAAGGAGTTCTCCGATGGCTATATGGAACTGTTGCGTCGTCGCTTTGGCACCAAGCGCACAAACGCTAATAAAGTATATCAGGAATACATTGCACACAAGGAGCACATTCACATGAATGCCACCCGCTGGCTGACGCTCTCTGACTATGTCAAGTGGCTGGGACGCACTGGCCAAGTGGTGGCTGATGAAACGGAAAAAGGATGGTTTGTCACCTACATTGATCGCAGTCCGGAGGCTATGGAACGCCAAGCGAAAGCCGAACGCAAGGAGAAAATGGAAAAGGATGACGAAGAGCGTATGACTGAATTTATTGAGAAACAAATTAAGAAGGCAAGGTCCAAAGAAGGCGAGGATGATGAAGCGCAGGAGAAGTATACCGAACTGAAACGTGAAGAGGAACAACCCCTAAAGCTGGATATACGATTAGAAAAAAAGTTTCAGCCGGAGTCGATACTGGGTAAATCAGCGTTGCTCACAAAACGACCAGCCGACCAGCCAGATGAAAAAGTCTTTAAAAGACCCAAGCCAGTTCCGGTCGAGTCTAGCAGGTCAGCGCTAGATGAGATCATAAAACAGGAGGAGATGAAGAAGGAACGTGCGAATCGCAAGGATTACTGGCTCCACCCGAATATAGTAGTTAAATTCATCTCTAGCTCCATGGGCGATAAGTTCTACAAACAGAAGGCTGTGGTCCAGGAAGTTATAGATAAATATCGTGCAAAAATTAAATTCTTGGACAGCGGGGAAAAGTGTAAAGTTGACCAGGTAATTACCTAAATGCTCTAAAGCTTATAACATATACTTTATTAATAACATTTTCTATTGCCAGGCTCATCTGGAGACCGTGATACCTGCCTTGGGCAAGGAAGTGCTTGTGGTAAATGGCGCCTACAGAGGATCAGAAGCTCTGCTAAAAAAGCTAAATGAAAGCAAATATTGTGTTACCATTGAGATACTGCATGGTCCACTAAAGGGACGAATTGTAGAGAACGTGCAGTACGAAGATATTTGTAAAATACATGGCACGTAGTAGTAAAGAGATACAGTTAATTTTTTAGGCTTAGATTTAATTTTATATACTCGATGTTTTATTGTTCACATAATATAAGAAATGTAGAATAGTTTCATCTCAAAGTGAATGTAGTGTGAAAAAATAATTCACTTTCTCTTCATGGTGTGCATTAAATTTAATCCGAGTGGCAAAACAAATCGGATGGATTACTTTTTATTGCTTCTAATTTTAGCGCGACAGTTAAGAAACACGTATATTGCGAGCAGGAACTCTCATCGCTTGGATATGCAAAGAATATATTTTTCTGTAGCTGTTTTCTGCTTATGTCTCAGTGGAATATATGCAAATTCAATATTCCATTGGGTGAGCACACAAGTTGGGAAAGGAATTAATATGGTTTTTAATATGGGAATCGTTTCTAAAGAATGGACTGATTTAATTAGTAATCAATGTGAGTATGAACGACAATAAACTCCCAAGTCTGCATATATCAATCAATTCACAGGCATCAAGTTTGCAGAGACTTTCAACGTTCCCGAACCCAGAGCTGCGAATTTGACAAAGCTAAAATTTGATTATATAACACCGTGTTGCAACTATGCAGTGCCTATATCGGAAGCCGAAACTCTCTGGGAGAATGCAATATTTAATCTGAATACAAAAATTGTTTTTGTCGTTACTGGATGGTTGACAAATTCCAGGTTTTCAGTTACCAGGGACGTTTTACAAAGGGCTTACATGTGTCGCCCCGATATAAATTTCGTGGTATACTTTAAGGCATGGACATTCTATCTATACATACTATATATATTTCTCTTAAGGTCGTAGATACATCGGGCTACCTAGATATGCTCTATATGTGGTCTGTGCAGAACACCAATATTATTGGGGACTACATTAGCATCGGCTTAAAGAAACTGACAGATGCCAATCCATCAGTCAAGATTCATCTTATCGGTTCGCATAGATCAATAACTAACTCGAAACTGTATTTATATAATTATTAACGATCTAATTTTTTAGGTCATTCACTGGGTGCACATATTATGGCGTTCGCTGCGCGACAGTATCAAAATTTAACAGGACGACTGGTGGATCGTCTAACAGGTTTGGATCCGGCCAAGCCTTGCTTTACAACCAGAGCCCGTAGTGATGGCTTAGCCAATGATATTGCCCGGTTCGTAGATGTCATACACTCAAATCCTGGTTTATTGGGAGAGGATTCGCCAGTTGGTCATGCCGATTTCTATCCAGGTGGTGATGATCCAGTTCAAAACGGATGCATATTCCTCGAATGCTCACATAGTCGAGCAGTTGAGTACTTTGCCGAGAGTGTTTATCCAGACCAGGAGCGGAACTTCCTCGCTTCCAAATGTGATTCAATGAAAGATGTGCATGCTAAAGTCTGCAAATCTCCCCACTCATTGATGGGCTATGAAGTTGATAAGAAGGCCAGAGGTATTTACTATCTGGAAGTGAATAGCAAGTCACCATTTGGCAAGAATTCAATTATAGATTCGGACGATGTAAATAAAGAATGCAAGTGCCGTGGTGTTATGTGTTAATTTTAAATGATTTTAGCAGATTCTGAATAAACAATGATACCCTTAATCTGTATAATTTCAATACTCTTACACTTGCTCCCACTCGAAATCCTACTGTCTAAAAGTTGAATGTACCTTAAAACAGCTGCTGGCATTGACATTAATCTGGATTTGTATTTGGGTTAAATCAACTATAAGTGTAAAGAACATATGTTTTATGACCCAATTTTATCTTATCTCGGGGGATATTGAGTTCTTAAAATCGTTTGTATTAATTTAGGTATATATTTCGATGACTAATTGTGCAAGGGTATATTTGCTTCGGCTTAAATTCTTTTCATTTTTGCAATAATACAAAGAAAAAAGTTTTCGCAATAATTTTGCCACTATGTGCAGAAGCTCAAAAACTTTACGCAAAATTAGTTTATTGCGGACTTCATATGCTGCAAAATGCGATCCCTGCTCTTTATTTTTACAATTTTGTGTATTATAGTCATCAGCAGCATGGAGCCTGCTGAACAGTCGAATAACATAACGTTAAGCTGGTGGCCGAGTGTCTCTGAAAAACTCCTGGATATCCTAACCATGAAAATGAATATATTCACATCGTTTCCGTTGGAGTTGGCTGCCACTGTTATTGACAGCTTGTGTAAGTTGGTGGGCTAATTAAGCTATTGGCTGTCATTTAGCAACACATCCGCCTCTACTCTCAGTATCCCATCTCAACGCTTGACAGGCTCCTCCACTTTGTTTATGGGAGGCGTACCAGCACAAATTCAGCCGGATATAACGAAAATGCACTTTCAGTACATGACACCGTGTCTGAACTATAGTGTTCCTTTGCTGAAAGCTGACAAGCTTTGGAATCATCCGCAATTTCGTCGCAATCGTAAATTGGTTATATTAGCTACGGGCTGGACAAATACGGTTAACGCTTCAGCTACCATTGCGATGATATCGAGGGCTTTTATGTGCAGACCTCGCGTGAATTTTGTGGTAAATAATAAAATGTTAATTCAAGTGGATATACTAATATATAATAAATATACTTGCAGATTGTAGATGCGGCTTACTATGTGGACACCTTGTACAAGTGGTCAGCCTTGAATACTGATCTCATTGGCGAGCATATAGCTGTTGGCTTACAGCATTTGATTAAAGTCTCCCCGTTGATTGATATTCATTTGATAGGTAAGTTTCACATTGAATTGTTGGGCTATTAGATATCAGGCAGAAGTTTTATAGGTCATTCATTGGGCGCACACATCATGGGCACCGCTGGGCGGACATTCAAACAACTGACGGGATATCGTGTGTCTCGTATTACAGCTCTGGATCCTGCCAAGCCATGCTTTCGCAATGAAAAGTCGCTGCCCGGTCTAATGCGAGGGGATGCTGAATTAGTAGATGTGATACATACAAATAATGGTATTCTGGCTAAACGAGATCCAATCGGTGACATAGACTTCTATCCCGGTGGTGTTCATCCCATAAAGCCTGGCTGTCTGACCATCGGCTGCTCTCACACGCGAGCAGTTGAGTATTTTGCAGAGAGTGTTTATCCACAGCAGGAGCGCAGCTTTGTGGGTACTCGATGCAGCTCCTGGAAGATGCTTGAATGGCACAGGTGCAAATCTGACATAACTTCAACCATGGGTTACTTGATAAACAGAAAGGCCAATGGCATTTTCTACGTGGATGTGAATGCTCGAAGTCCCTTTGGGAAGAACTACAATCTACCAAGGAAAGGTATCGCTGACTGCGCTAAAACCAGTTGCATTTCTAAATTACTGAGTAAATTGCAATAGTCCAAGTTTTTTAACAATTGCTAAATATATGTTACATTTTAGTTTAAAATCAAGCTGTCTTCCTAAGGATTTTTTACTGTATCCAGCCTTTGTCATATTGCAGCTTGATTTTGTATCAACTTTCCTTCCCTTCGCCTTGCATTCAAATCCATTGATCACTTATAAATAGCTTTATTTAGTATTTATTCTATTATTTCTGTAAGATCTAGATCATCATCGAAGGCCTCTGCAATGCCTTTCTGGCTCTGGTAGACTTTCTCTTGGGTTTCAGCTATTCTCCACAGTTCATCGTCATCGTCGCCAGTCAACATGGATCTGTTGGCTCCTCCCTTGATTGCGGTTCTAAGTTTATTGTTTGCTGGAGCAGGTCCCGGCGCACGTTTCTGTCGATTGCCCATCAAGATTTGGCTCTCCTCGAAATATTTGTTTGGATGATTGATTGTGGGCTCCACTGTGGAATTGTGCGTAAGCATGAAGTATTTTCCGCAAGCGAATTGATAATGATTGCGGGACACGAAATGCATCACCTCATCAATCCCACCCGCTGATAGGCCATACGCAGAGAGCTTGGCTTTCAGCGAGGTTGGATCCATTGTTTTGTATGGACAACCGTGGCAATCACCCGGAGCGGCCATCTCCTTGATGATCTTCAGGCAGGAGTAAGGCGTGTAATTGACCATTGAGCCCTTCTTGCCATAGTTGTGATAAATGTTGTACTCGTAGCTACGCGTAAACTTGTCCACGTCCATTTTCTTGGTGAACTCTTCCCGCCAAAATCGTAACGAATCCTCAAGCGTCACACCAATGCCCTTCAAGAAGAGGCCGTACTGCATGCGTCCGCCGTGCTTAATGTGGTGCTGACTGCGTATGTGCTCGTGGCACATACGCATACACAACGGCATGGATGTCTTGGATAACTGATCCAGAGACTCAATAGGCACAGACTCATCTCTGCACACTGTGTAGTCCTTGCCCGTATACGAGTTATGCAGTGATTTAATCATGCGAGCAATGCGCTCGTCTGCTTCGACATCAGCAATAAAAGCCTTAGCTGCCTGCATGCCAAGCTCTATTTCCTCCAGTTGCTTGGCGCCGACAATAGACACCATATCATGTGTGTTAACATAGGCAAATCCCGCTTTGATATAACAACGCCTAGTACGCACCAAATCCAAGACTTGTGTGAAGGGCACTTTGTAGAACTCCAATAGTTCGATTTTCGACACACTCTGACCTACTGTGCTCTCATAGAGGCCGTCCTTGACCTCGTCTTTCTGCTCCTCTGTCAATGGGTGAATTTGAAAATTGTTGGCATCCAGAAACATCTTGATTTCAGCTGTGCTAAGTGCGGCGAATTTGTATTTGAAGAACTCCATTTCGCGTGCCACGAACCAGCGTTGCAGATCTTCCGAGCGGCAATAGGCTAAGCGTAGTATGAAGTGCGACAAATAGTCACGCCGACGCATTTGTACATCAGCTTCGTGTTTTGTACCACTGCTGGGCATGCCCATGCGCAGGTATCCGCGGAGTCCGTCTTTGGTCATTTCGGCATTCACGTATTCCTTCCAGTCGTCCGAAAAGATACGCAATCCCTTTGTCGTGGCGCGATCGAAAACTCGCAGCAGGCGTAGTCGCTCCAAGGCGAGATCCTCGAATTCATCAATGTGAATATCCTCTGTTGGCGGATAATGGTAGAGCATCACATTGTGTGGATACTTAGCTTCCAGGCTAATCACTTCAACTTTTACATCGTGTCGTGCGCGTTTCTTTAAATTAAAATCCATATTGCCAAACAATATCGAATAGTGATTTACTAAAATGGCGCCAAAACCATTTAACAGCTGTCACAATTATATCGATATATATAGAGCAAACATGCCTGGTATACTCATAACATATCGATTACGGAAAATTATCGATGGTATTTTTTGAGTTTGATTAGATTTTCCGTATTGTTAGTAACGATAAGTGTAAGCTGCAACAATCATTAATCATTCATTAAATTTAATCTAATTTAATGCTTATTCCTTAAAATATACTGAAGTCAAGCGGTTTTCATATTATTCATAAAATTAATTAATGTGTATATCAGGTACTTAATAAACAGACTAGAATATTTGTGTATGTTAAAATCTAGACAGCGCTTAGACTCTGGAATCTTTTGTGCCAATGCCAATAGACTCCAAAGACTTTCTTAGACGTTTCCAAAACAATTTCCGTTCTTCCAATGATGGCTGTTTATTTCCTTTACTCGGCCATTTAATGTAGGTCTTTATATCCATTAGGTACTGTAGAGTTTTCGGACGTTTGCTACGCGGTATGTCTTCCAGAAATACGAGTATCAAATGCTCTTTACTCATTTCAAAGATACTGTTTGGAATAGAATGAAATTGAATTGTGAATGTATGTTTAAAAATATAAAAAGTGCACTCCAGCTCAACACAAATATGAGGGATGCGATATTTGTGTTGAGCTTCCTCTTTTTTAATTCTTACCGATGTTGAGCCAGATACATTTCGAATTGACACCAATGGCTGAGTAAAAACTTTGATGATATTAGTAGCATAAGAGAGCGCGAACGATCCATGCTCGAAATAATATTATCCAATATAGTCACTCCGATCTGTAAGCAAGATAATAGAACTAGATCATGCCCTATTGGGGTTGAGGACAGTTTGAACAAACCTGAAAATCACGTTCATGCAGACATATTGAAATATCACCAGATTTCTCCACATTTGGCAGCAGCTCATCCAAAAGCCATTGTCGATCGTTCTGGCAATAGCTAATGAATATATCATATATAACACTCGGGTCACTTTCGGCTAGATGTCGGATCCTATCTTTAGCAGCAGTAGATAAAAGCGCTGCTGACTTAAGTGAGGCATAATAGTAGTGAATGTGCCAACGCTTCAGGTATATTACAAATCCCAGAATGAACATGAAGAGAAGGCTGCCAACTGTAGCTGTGATGATCTTCATTGCGTTATGTAGCTCCCTCTCGAGGACAATTAAGTTGCGACTCTGGCAAACTAATTCATCCACCTGCAACTTTTCCGTCTCATTGAAACACCAATAGTTCTTTGCATCATAGTCCAGTAATTGAAATTTCAGTTTCGTATCATTCACAGTGGTCGGCCTTGAGACAGGGCATTGACTACTACTTATATTATTTGAAACAAAATGCAGTTTGACGATATTCTTGAGGCGTTTGAAGTCCTTAATGTTCTTATAGCTGTCGTTAAGCAACGGAATATATTTTCGATTCCACAGCTCCCATTCAATATGATTGTTCAGGACATTACTCAATCGACTCATGTTGCTGTCATTCAACTGATAAATTAGCTCATCCGCTGCGGTTTGTAAATAATCAATGGAGCAGCTGGCTTCTTTGTTATTATTAGCAGCTACCTCAACGATCTCCCGCAGATTGCAATTACAGAGGAAGTTATTGCTGCCTAAGCTCAAATATTCCAATAACTCGAAATCCTTTAACATCTCCGTGGTCAACATGTTGACATTGTTGCTGCGCAAATTGAGAACTCTCAGTTGTTTGTTATGGGAGAAGACACTTTTATACCAATTGCCAATGTGGTTGTAGCTCAGGTCAAGCTGTTTCAGACTAACCAGAGACTTGAATATATCAACGTCGAGGGCATTTATATTGTTCCCCGCTAGGGACAATAATTGCAATTTATTCAGGGGTTTCAACCAGTCAAGGTCCTTGAGATTGGAGTGCTCAAAGAATAGAAATTTCAGTGTTTCGCTTGTGCTATCGAAGGCATCGTCCAAAATATTATACGAAACAAATGGATTGCCGGATAAATCGAGGCCCTCCAGAATTGTATTCTTAAACAAGCCGTTGCTCATCATGGGAAACGAAGTGTAGCATAAACTAAGATACTTCAGCTTATCGCCAAGATATGTAAAGGCAACGGCACTATTTTTCGTAATTTTCGAGTGCGACAGATCCAAGTAAATTAGATCTGGCAAATACTTGAACGCGGCTTGATGTATTTTTAGTCCATATACTAGATTGAAGATCATCTCAAGTGTTGGCATCGAGAACAGATAATTGTAGTTCAAGACATTTGTAAATGACAGATCTAAATATTGTAGTTTAGGTATATAGTAAAAGGTATCAATATCAATAGTCATTATTTTGTTGTTGGATATGAAAAGCTTCCGCAGATTTGTCACATTCTTAAATGCCTTTCTGCTCACATACTCAATGCTGCAGTTGCTAATCTCGAGCTCCAACAAATTCGGCAGACTCGGAAAAGTAGCCCAAGCTATACTTTGCACTGAAAAGAATAAACAAGAAAATGAAAAATATATTACAATTAGATACAATCTTAGGTTATACATTAATTAACTAATTGACTAAATGGATGCCTTACTTGACTTGCCGAATCTTTTGTGTTTTATTTTAATTTTCCGAATGTACTCCTCATAAATAATATCTTGTGTATTTATTTGAGAGTCAATTTTTTTATTGCTTTGATGGTATGATGAGCATTCCCGATCATAAAGATCATAATTATTATTATTATTGTCGGCTAAAACCTCACAATTGATTTGTGTGCCATTGTCTGGGTTGGTGTTTAGTGTTTCATGTAAAAATTGCTCAATTGCTGAAATATAACAAAGTTCCTACAGATAACTGTGTGTTTTTCAATACTCTTTGTGGTCGGTCGAATATCTAACCAACTTCGCTTACTTACCTTCCACATCATGGTTGAGAGCTGCAAACTGGTTACCTTGCAGGGATAGATATTTTAATGATTTACTCATTGTGTTCAAAGTTTGGAATGGTACTGCATTTAGTGAATTGTAGGCAGCTGAGAAAACTTCGACTTTTTGAAGTCTATATCTATGAGCGAATCTCGTTTTATTTAGCAATTCTTCGTCATCTGAGATATTGCCATATGAAAGATCCAAATGCATATTGGTAGCTGCAAAAAAATGAATTGAGACTTATTTTCAGATTTTATAATAACAGTTAATATATTAAATGTGTTATTAAAGAACATCCGTTCAAATTTTGTAATGAATTTAATTTGAAATAATTAAATGAAGCCAACAGCAATTAGAGATACTATCGATACTAAAGCAGCTTAGTATATACTATCGATGTACCGATGCCGTCAACAATTTATCGATTAATGAATAAATGTTTGCGTTCTCAATTCACGCTAGAAAACAAAACTTAAAATGGAAGAATTTTGTCGAATTTGCGCAAGAAACGATGTCAGCCTAGTAAATATATTCGATCAACGGGATCACCTGGAGATGGAGCCACCATTGATTGATATGCTGAGTGAATTGGTTACTTGTGAAATTCAACTCAATGATCAATTGCCTCAGAACATTTGCCTCTCCTGCAGCTCAGCTGCCAGAAGTGCATTTCGTTTCAAGCGTTTGTGTGAACAAAGCTATGAGTACTTTTGGCAGTTGTTGAGCGTCGAGAGTGACCCCAACTGCGATGAGGAAAACACAGAGTTGCACTCTTCCATTGAGATTAAAGAGGAGCCTGCGGAATATGAGCAACAGAGTAGCAGCACGAACATTGAAAATAGTGAAGTAATCACTGCAATGGATGAGGAGGCTGGAAAGGAGGAGAAAGAGGAGCTAACTACCGAAAAAACGGATGAACAGAAGTTATTTGAGTGTCTGATATGCGGAGGAAATTATGCGTCTCAGGAGCTCTTAGACATCCATTCTCGTAACTGTAGCAGTACGAACATTGAAAATAGTGAAATTATCACTGCAATGGATGAGCAGTGTGAAGAGGAGGAGAAAGAGGAGCTAACTACCGAAAAAACGGATGAACAGAAGTCATTTGAGTGTCTGATATGCGGAGGAAATTATGCGTCTCAGGAGTTCTTAGACATTCATACTCGTAACTGTAACCGAAAAACTTTTTCATGTACCTACTGCTCAAAGGTTTATTTTTCACATAGCAGTCTCATTATTCATACACGTCTACACACCGGCGAACGTCCGTTTAAGTGTTCCATTTGCGGAGAGGATTTCATAAGAAAAGATAATCTAACGAAGCATATATATTCACATACTGGTGAACTTCCATACGAATGTCCCCAGTGCTTGAAGCGCTTCAGTCATCGTAGCATTCTTAACAGGCATCTTCATATTCATGAGCGAGGCAAATCATATAAATGTGAATACTGCGACGAGATCTTTGAGAGATACAACTATTTGCGAAGACATAAGGAAAAACACCCGGAATGTAGAAAGAGTGCCGGAGGTGATGTAATGAATGCTCCTATACTAAGTAAAGATCTGAACGCAGAGCAGGTCACGTCGTCTGGCACAAGTTCAAAATCCTTCAAACCGAGTGATCCTTCAAACAGTGAGCTACATGACAAGGAAACTAGTTATAAGTGTCCAAGTTGTCCTCTAATCTTCCTCACTGAGATTGTTTTCAAGAAACATATGCAATCGCATTCCGATAAAAACGAGTGGCAACAGGAAATGGAGCAGACAGACATAGACAGAAATACCCATGATAGTAGTCAAGACAGTTATCCAGTTCTTTTGACTGAGTTCGTACCTATAGAATCTTCTGAGAATTTAACCAACGAAAATCATGTTGAAGCAATTAGTTGCAATGTTAACTTAGATGAAAGTACAGAAATAACAGAGCATCCCAACGAAGATCAACCCAACTTTCCCAGAAAAGATAATATATATGCAACCAATTCTGATTGCGAAATGAATTCAAATACAAATTCAAAAAATCAAGTTCTTCTTACTGAACTTGTACCCATCGAATTTTCAAATCATGTGGGAATTACAAAAAGAAACAAGTTCCCCAAAGAAGATAAACCCAACTTCCTCAACAAAGGTAATAGTCAAGCAACAAATAATGCTTGTAAAGTTAAATTAAATAAAATTAAAAAGAATAGAGTTCTTTTGACTGAACTCGGACCCATTGCATTCTCTGAGAAAGAAGACACATATTCTAATTGGAAAGATAAGTTAGCTAAAATTAGAGAGGTACGCAAGCTCACTGCTAAGAAAATTCATCAGTGTAAGCGGTGCGAAAAGAAGTTTCCTACCGGGTCTGCTTTAAGCAAACATTATCACATCCATTCCGAAGAACGTCCCTATAAGTGTAAATTCTGTCGGAAAACATTTAAAAGAACTTCAAGTCTTCAAAGCCACATGACTGTCCATCAGTGCAAATATTGTGGGAAATCATTTAGAAACAAAAAACTATTGGGTCATGGGTGCCCAAAAGGTATTGATATGTCGTAGGCTTAAGTATTCACTGTAGAAATTAAGATGCAAAGTAATTACAATTAATTATTAGCTAAAAATATATTTTGAAAAATTGTGTACCTTTTAATATATGCATTTTACATATTTCTCATGTTCAATGGCTTCAAAAAATAAAAATATAGTACAGTCCACGGATCACTGCATATCTCGATGTTCATCATGCAATTATGTTCAAGGCGGAATATATTTGTGTAACTTTCTGATATAGTAGCAAACATTAAGTTTATATCAGCAAAAATGGATCAGAAATGTTCAAAATGCGTTCAATTAGCGAATGTGTAGAAATTCTAGCGAGTTCTTTATTTAATCACAACCATCCTCTTTCTCTCTCTCTATAGTTCTTACTCTCTCTCAGGCTTGTACAATATCTTAAATAGTATACGTACATGTATAATAATAAATAAAGCATGTTGATTCGTAGATTAGCTACCAATTTATAATTTTTAATCAGTGACGTTTATTTTTGTGCTTACCATACTTAGCACTTGTGGTTTTTAGAGTTCCATTAGGAAATGCCCACCATAGTATATCCTGTTTAATGTTATCCAAAAGACATGTATTCCCATCATCAGTGCTGTATTTGACAAATGCCGAGTTCATATCTGTATCTTCAGTGGAGTCTGTATTGGTTTCTGGGCCTTCAGTATTTTGGTTATCATTTTCAAATGCATTATTTAAATTTTCGCTCAAATGTAAACTACTTTGAAGAGGAATTTCAGGCACTAGATCCGCATCCTGAAAACTTGACTCGTTGATATTCCAATGAAGAAGAAACACAATCAAACAAGCTCTTAATACGATTGTCATTTTTGCGTTATTCCACCAAACTTTTATCGAAAGTATATATAGTTCTATGTTTTTCTAAATTTTCTCGGTTTCTTGCTATTAGTATATTGCCTTTCATTGAACTTTTTTTGCTTAAACTCTTTTAGTTCAATATTTCTATTTATAACTTTCAGTTATCTTGCTTCATATACTTCAAACAAATTTGACACATTCAGTTGGGTAACGTAGACTATTTTGCAATATTTCCGATCGATTGGCGACATAATACAGCACTCCAGAAAGCACAAGCGCGACTAATGGTCAGAAATGAATTGCTCTTTTGGCTTTGCGAATGCGAGTATGAATAATATTTATTATAACACGATAGGCCTTATCAATTTTGGCAATATATTCTTTTGCTTTTGAATGGGTTCCGGTTATCAGTTTAGCCGCATTATTATGTTAAAACACACTGCTCTTTCTCTCTCTCTCTTTCTGTCTCTCTTTCTAGCACACCCACACCTCAAACATTGTGTAAATAATTGCGGAAAATAATAGGCACGATAGCCGCCGCCAATTCGATACTGAAGTAGGGCTAAGCACGCACTACTCTTCCTGTCAATAAAATACTCTTTTTTTATAAGAGAGCCGAGTTAAATATAGTCATAAATTAAATGGACTACTTTAAATTGAAGTAAATAATGCTCAATAATATAGATTATTGCGAATCTGATACGCTTATAGATATGGCCAGCATGATAAGCCTTTTTTTGTTTAGCTAGTAATGGCAAATGTAAGATTAGAGTTAGCATTTGTGTTTGCTTCATAGGCGATTTTTGATTTCATTTTGAACAACATTTAGTTACCCATCAGTATTATTAGCCAATTTAAAAATGAAGCAAGCTTGAATTTAAAATTTTCAAAAATAAAACGCTTTAAATTATCGATAAAAAAAATACGTTATTTGTAATCGCTGCTGCCAAGAAAATGCTATGCTGCAAAGGATCTTTTGCTAATGTCAGCTAAGCATAGTTATTCACATAAATTATATTATAGATTTCCCAATTGCCTTAACCACAGCTTACACTATATTCCCATTTAAATATTTACTTATTTATTTAAGCACATGACATTATAGTAGGTCCAGTTCGCTTTTGTGTAACGCAACAGAAGAGCAGCGCGCACAGCTCTGGCGTATGCTCAGTGTGCGCCACCCACCACCCAACGCCCAACACCCACCCTCCCAGATCACGATTTTTGAATTACAACTCACAGCAGACGACGCGTCGTCGCAATGCTCGTGCAGATTGTTTGCAATCTAAGTCCAACCACCCAAACCACCCCTTTTGGCTGCCACCTTCGTAGCTGGTTAAACAACCACCTTCTGTTTTCACTCACTCTCACTCGGCTGCTCTCTGTCTCCATCTCGCTCACTCTCACTCCCCTCTCTCTGTCAATCCTCCAGGACCCGCTGAACAGAGCCATCGGCTGGCTCGTGCTTATGCTCGTGCTCGTGCTCGGCATTTCGTTCGTTCGCTGTGTTTGTGCTTTGGTTGTTAGATTCGAGTCGCGTGGCTGTCAGTTTGCATGCGTCTCCGTTCGTGGGTGAAAGTCCACAATAGTAAGTCGCTGCGATTTGTGGCACTCAGCACTCAGTACTCGTGCAACGTGTTGTTAGCAGCGTGCCGTATCCGTCGGTCTTTGTGAGACACCCACAGCGCCGCTAGACGCTAGAAAAAAGCCGGGAAATATTGTTGTTTATATATGCGCTGTCCAGTGTTATGGTCAAGCGCCACTCGAAAATTTTTTGTGGGAATTTGTGCGACTTTGTGAAAATTGAGTTGCCCAAATGCCGCTGTGAAATGCCAAAGGCAAACAAAGGCTCTTCAGATTGTCATGGCGTCTTTTCGGGACCGTAGACAAGCAAACAATACAGACCGAATCCAAACACAAGTGCGTCTCTAAATTAAGCCCCCTTCAAATGGGCACTTTGGCTACATAATAGACCTTTGTGTGAGCGAGTGTGTGTGTTTGTGTGTGTGTGTGCGGACTATCAGCTAGATTGCAGCATGGATGCTCTAAAAGCAGGTAAATAGTAACAGTAAAACACCAACTTTACCGTATAACAACTGTCGCACACGTTCCTCCTGCTGTTGTGATTGTTGTTGTTGTTTTGGTGGTGTCTTTAAAAATCGGCTGCATTTTGGGGTGTGTTTTTTCGCCGGGCCACAGGTATGGGATAATCAATTCCAGAAATTTTAATGGAGCTAACTTTCACTTGACGATTTGGTAACTTAGAAAGTTCTCTTTCTCTGTCCATCATCATACTGTAGCACAGATATCCGCAAATTTGTTTAGCACTTATTGAAATTGATACAGCTGATCAAAATCTCACGTCCAATTTAGCAGAAAATCGAAGCACACACAATACGGAGTCATGATATGGCATATCTCAAAACTAAACAGAGAAAGAACAGCACGAACAAAAGGAAAACCGGGCGAGTTCATTTGAAAAAGGAAAACTCCATTTTTGGTTTTGTTCTTTCCTTTCTTCGGCCGCCTGAATGCATTGAACTCCTGTCTGACCCTGGCTGGGGGTTGGCCAAATGTCTGCCCAAGTCCTGGGCGAGGAATACCGCATAATGCACACACATCGTGAGGTAGTCGAGTAATGAAAGGACAACACGCGATGGCCGGTAGGACGAGGGCACATAAACATATGTAGTAAAGTCGAAGGATCTGTCCATATTAGATATTACTTTATTACACTTACGTTTCGTATGCAGCTCGACAATTTACTTAATAAGTTCTAATTGCACATAAAACTCGGCAAAACACTCATAAATTATTATTACGTTCAACGTGTTGCGGGCTCTGTTAGGGCAGCCAAGCAGGAAAACTATTTAAAACAGCAACACATAAAACTTTTTAGTGGTTCGCAAATGAGAAACTATTAAAAAGTGCGGAAAATTCTTGCGCCGAGCTGCGGCCGCCACAGACCGTGGTAGGACGTTACTTTAAAAAAATGTATACCTTTTTGTGTTAACCACATTTAGAGGAAATGTGTTTATGGTTTAACCTATTCCTGTCATCCTGCACAGTTTGCATATTATAAATGGGTTTCCTTCAGCTCGACAGGACGAACAAAAAATGGTTCCATTTTATTTATACATACATGTGCAAAATTTGCTTTTAAGCTGCGGAGCTGCGTAGGAAATGCTTGTCGCTCTTTATGCTCGCTCACAAAGTGAAGAGGGTATATTAGGATGGACATGTTGAATACATTAAGTGGGGCAGTTGGAAATGAAGAATAACTTTACATTTTATAAGGCAATCGCTATTAATAATGATGGCTATACGATGTTGAATGTGATCTACGAGCATTTATATTGATCTATTACTAGATGAAAATATTATAATATACTCGTTTATTGAAATATATACGGCGAAAAAATTTAATTTTAGGAGCAATTTGTATCTATCTTTTTTTGGGGGCTTACGGAACTTTTAAATAATAATTTCGAGGAAGATAACCAACGCCTTGTGGGCAATTTTATCTTACATATTTATGGTTCTATTAATTGTCCCTCTATGAGGACATTTCTAGTTGCTAAAGATCTTTCACAGTTTTTTTTTACTATTTGTAATGGCTTACTATTTGCTTTCCTCCATAGATCTATCAAACACGTATTTTGTATATATTTGCCTCTTGGGGGCGTAGAAAATCATAAGTATAAATGCATTGTTTAATAAATCCAACCTATGAATGAGTATCATGCCGTCGATTACTCCCTATCGGCAATGCTTCCTATTTGCTTTTAATTGTAGTAAAAGTTTTTAGTAATAAAGGGAGAATGCATAAAAAAGAACACATAACTTTACTTATTATGCTATTTTGTTTTTTTTTTGCCCATTACCCTAGGTGTATAGTTACGTTATTTTTAATTTCAAATAAGCTGACAGTCCTTTCAATGTTCAGCAGGAGAACACTTTGAGTGAAAGCAAAACACAGCACAGCCAACTGCAAATTGGCGAGGAGTGAAAAGCTGTGCTGGATTTTGGTCTGACCTGCTAAACTGCTGGAAGCTAGAGGAGCTGAAAAGTTTGGCTTAACAAGGAGCATTGGATTAGTAATTTGTTAAGCCAACAATTTACATTGTCTCGCAGGGCTTCAGCTAGTTTTCATTTTACAAAGAGCTGCAGCCCCGCTTCCTGACATGTGTGCTGCATACAAATGCTTCAAGTATCGCATAACAAGGTCCAAGTGTGAACGGGGGACGAACCTCTTAAAAGGCTTCAGAGAGTGCATTTAGCCTTTTGCATTTGCATTTGCATTTTGCATTTTACATTTTTCATTTAATTGTAATTTTCAAGTTAAACTAAATTAAGCAACTTTTATGGAGGTATTTCCTTGGTACAATAATTTTCTCATTTAGCTGAAATAAGTTTTTACTTTTGCTCACTTTGCTTTGCTTTGCGACAGAGAGAGGTAGAGCGAGAGGAACAAGAGTGTGAGAGAGAGAGAGAGTCATTTCATTTTGCTTGATGGCGGTTTGCGTTTCCACTTGAAGAACTTGTTGTTGACTTAATTGCATAAGTTTTTAGTTTAGTCCCCTGACTTGAACTGAATGGAACTTTAAGCAATATGCTGAGAGCAATTCACATTCACATGACATCACGCAATGCAACTTGGTAAGCCAAAATAAAAACGAAAAGTGTCTTTGGAATGCTGAAAAGCGTTCAAAAAGTATTTCTAAAGCGAAAGTAATTTACAGGATAATAGCCAAAGTATTTGCCCCCCGCTGCTCTCGCTGCTCTCCACTGTTTACCTATGCCGCACACCTTATACAATTTGCATGTGTGTCATAAATTCGACAGCAATAAAATTCAATCACATATTTCATTACAATATATACAGAAGGAAAAATTTAATTTACTTTTCGGTGCCAAGCGACGAAGCATGCATAAATCGTGCTCCTGCTCCTGCTCCTGCTCCTATTTCTCCTGCTGCTCTGTGCAGATGCTGAGCTCTTGTTGCTTGCTGGCTTCCTGGTTCACCTAAATTTCAATCTCATTTGTCTGTCTTCCGGCTTGCTGCCACCCCCACCTGCCGCCCCTTATTTATGACTTGGCCAGAGCCCGCAGGCTGCGTGTCCTTAAAGTGTTGTCTTGATAAGGCGGCAGCTCCCTGTCTATGACGTGTCTGTCTGTTGTAAAACTGCGCGCACATTTCGTCGTGTATTCAAATTAGATTTATCCACAGCAAATTTTTATGGCCGAATAGCGTCAGGCTGCCCGACTGATTACTTTTTCGGGCGCACGCTCATTACTTGTAAAAACAATATTAAAAATATTTTGTAATTTTATTCATGAGTTTCCGCAAAATTAAATGAAAACAAAGCGGCCTGACCACACAAACGTTTGCCTGTCCGAACAAATTAAGAGTTTACATGCCATCTTCATTCACTTTCAGTTTGCAAAAGTAAAATTATTTATTTTGTTTTTTTTTTTTTTTAATATTTAAAGTATATAAAAATTGAAAGATATGTAAATAAAATAAAACCATAGATTAATTATTAAAAAATTATTAATTAATACATTTGTTAAAAAATAACCAGGCTGCAAAACTAACATTTGACTTTCCTTACATTTTTATTTCTTATAAATATTTCAGGCAACCGAATGATTTGAAATTTTTATATGAGACAGCTAAATATCGTATTAACAAAATAAAATTAAGATCATAGAGATCCATAGAGTCGAAGCAAAGATACAGACCCTGGAAGTTGCAACATTGAATTCGTGTTACAGTTTTGCTCGTCACTGTAGTATACAAAAATATTTATTATAGTCTGAAAAGCATAAACTAGAAAAATATACTTATATAAGAAGAAGAATAATAAGAATAATAATAAAATGTAATCAATTATCATTCGCAGACTCTATTTGGAATAGCTAAAAGCCTTTGCTATAGAAATTCCCTCACTTTTAGGGTATTTGATACTCATTACTCTAAGGCTAAATAAAAATATGCATAAATTTTACATAAATAACTTGCATTCATTAAAAGCCATATTAATTCCAGACATGTTTCGTTTATTATTA